ATATATATATGTGTATGTGTGTATGTCTATGTGTTTGTATATAGATATATTCTCACATGTCATATGTGCATGCTTATACATATATGTATCTAGGTATGCATTCAACAAAAGATGCAGTCATGCACACCGGCCGACACAGAAACATATGCACGCAGCCCAAATGAAACCATAAAAACATATCGGATTACGAGCCTGCCATTGTAAAAGCATACTGGTGAGAAGGGTCTGCTATCATACAGAGGTCATCATACAGGCAAGTCTCACACGACAGGAGAAGAACACACAGACGCACACGCATACACTCATTTTGGCACTCACACATATATCTATCTATGTATCTATTTGCCTCTGTATCTAACTGTCCTCACATTTATATGTCATCATGTGTGTTTGTATATGTAAACCTTGTATACTTACTTACGTATNNTATATGTACATATATGTGTATATATATATACATACATACATATATATATATATACAGAGTTCATATTTGTATATGTGCGAACAATTGAACACATATGCATGTATTACAGACCTAGGACTAATACACACCAAATGGACAAGCACACACACACACACATACGTACACACATATACATACATACATACATACATACATACATACATACATACATACATACACATATATATATATATTCGTGATTATATATATATATATAAACACACCTGCACACGCACATATGTATATATATATATACACACACCCAACATACTAGCTTAATAGCAAATTTCCCATCTAACCAATCCCCTCAGGATCCCCGATGGATGCCGTGGACACCCAGGTGGTAGGAGAGCTTGCTCCTGCGACTCGTCTTGCACGCTCAGGGCGGCTTTGGGGCTTAACTCAGCATTCAGAAGTGCTTGTAGCTTAGGTTGTGGATCGTCTAGATCAGCTGGCTTTGCAGGCCAGCAGGAAGGCGAAGGCAGGAGCCAAAAAAAAGACGAAGCCTCGATCGGAGCCAGAGGGTTCGAAGGAGCCACAGGATTCCAAGCCAGAGGATTCCGAGGAGCCGCAGGATTCCAAGCCAGAGGATTCCGAGGAGCCACAGGATTCCAAGCCAGAGGATTCGAAGGAGCCAGAGGATTCAGATCCGAAGCCACGGAAAAAAAAGCTCAAACGTGCCAGATCCAAAGCTTCGAAGATGGGGTCCCATGAGAAGTGGGGTGATTGGGGCCACGATTGGGATGAAAAGGAGTGGTACGATAGCGAACCCAAGCCTAAGAAGAAGAAAGCGCCGGAGAAGACAGGGCCTGTCCTGAAAAGGCCGGCTGCTTTCATTCCGAAAGGCAAAGAGGAGGAGGATGGAAAAGGAGGGAAGGCTGCAGGCTTGCCCTGCCCGAAGGCCAAAGGCAAAGCAAAGGCGAAAGCCAAATCGAACAGTGAGCCCCCAAAAAAACGAGAGAAGCCGCCGGGAACACGTACCAAGGACGGTTTGCGATCTGGAAGCCAGAGCACATGTTTCCACTCCATAGATATTTGTAAGGCACTCTGATATGCATGTACCGCAGGAAGAGCTCGAGATCAAAGCTTTCATCCACGAGTACAACCGCACCGAGGGGGCCAAACACAGGATCATGGCCTACTGGACCCGACCAGGCTTTGGGCTCTTGGAGGCAACCGAGGAGAATACCCAGGTGTCTTAGCTGAGATTGATTCAAACATTCGTTGTGACTACGACGATACTGGCAGCTAAGGTTGCCTACTGTGCATCGAAGAAAGTTGATGTGACCTCCAACTTCTTGCCGATCAAGCAGCTTGTATCTTTGCTGACACAGAACTCTGCATACAATCACGAACCGATCAACCTTACGAGATATCTGAGGCTCTTGACCTTCTTCATGGCTTCGATGAGAATGATGCATTCGCGAAGTTTCAGGTTTCGAAAGAGCTTTTCAGCTCCCAGCGAGGGGGCCTGAGCGAGTTTCTTTACTGGGAACTTAGGGGGAGGATAGGGAGAGGTTGCACGCCCAGAACAGTGTATGCTGGATTCCATAATCCTAGCCCTCAGGCAAACCATAGTTTATGTTACATGTTGTGGACCTCTCATGCCTCCTACCTATTGGTCGGAGCGAAGGCCAATTTCGTGTGCTTCGCATGATCTTCGGGAGTAGTCCGTTGCTGGTCAAGATTGGACAAAAAGATGCTTGCAAGCCCGTAGTCTCCTGACAATGAGGTGCTTGTCGTTGAGGTCACAGTAGCATCCTCGGCAGAACTGTACGAAAATCGCCCCTAGTCCTCTCGTGCGAACCGTTCCCGCCGCAGGCCCAATGCTCAAGTTCGTCGTATTCTACAGACAAGAGCTGCTGGCGACAATCAAGGCATCATCAAGGAGACCAGGGGCGAACCCGGCCATTTACTCGGTTAGTGCAGTGGTGTTGCTTGGACAGTTCTTTGGTGAGCATCACGAGAGCTTTGCCGAACCTTGTTATTGCTGCTGTACTTCTTCAGTGGTGCTGCTGGTTCCAAGTCGAATAGCACAGACATTCGCTAAAAATGTCTAGTACAAACTCAGCTGATTAAACATCCGTGGCATGGTTCCTTTTCCATCTAGTCACCCATTGTGTAGGCTAGCCCTATCCCCAGATATTTACCACTGCTGTATGGCCTTATTCGTGCGAGCCCTCCGAGTGATGGATGTGCTCAGGCCCGGCTTGGGAAGCTAAGGGTTGCTCAGATTACCCGAGATTGGATTCTCGTGTCTGCTGCTGGCTTTCGCATCTACATTATCCTGCTGGATTTCAAATTCAATAAGATGTATAGATATAGTAATGATATGCATGTCCTTTAGGCCTGTGGTTCTTTCTAAACCCCTACGAACCCTATGCCCCTAAACCTTTGCCGCAAGGCATACCTGGGCTAGGCTAATCACAAGCATCTTTCTGCCCTGCTAGCCTATAGCCACAGCCTTAAGCCCTGATCGAATAACCCAAGCCTCCCAAAAAAATTTAAGAGCCCTAACCCTATTCAGAGCCCCATGCAGATACTGAATCCAACAGCAGATTCAGGCCCGCAGATTCTAGACCCAAAGCTCGAAACCCGAACAGCCACAATCGGCACAGGTCCGCCAAGCCCATCCCGGACCCAAGTCGCCACGCACACGGTCTTTGAAATAAGCATAATGGGTGGATTCTGGCTTTATTCGACTAAGGCTAAGGTAGATCGCATCCTTTCGGAGGGTTGGGGCTGCACAGGGCTTTGTGTTTTAGGTGTTCGTGCTTCTTGGGATTACGAAGGACGGTTCTTTGCCCTGTTACTGGCTCTCTACTTCCACTGCAAGGAACAAGTAAGTGCTAAAATACAAACGGGAATATCTTTACATGTGTGTATGTATATATGTATATATATATATATTTATGTGGTTAGGGTTTAGGGTCTTGGGGTTTAGAGGGTTTCTAGGGTGTACGGTTATAGGGTCTAGGGGCTTATAAAGGGTTTATAGTTGTGTGTGTGTGTGCAGATAGGCTACATAGAACTGCTCATGTACATCAGAACATGTGTGTATATCCATATGTGTATCTTTACACGTAGCAGCACACATACTTGCGACTTGAGCAGGCTCCACACTTGTTGTCTCCTTTACATAGTGCATGGTATACACGATTATGATAAGTGCATGAAATCTAGAAGAGCTTCGTTTCGGTACTCCCGCCCTGTAGATCCTTATACTACTCCATATGTTTCGAAGGCCCCGATTTTCAGGCTTGGGGTTTTGCTTGCTGGCTCTAGGGGTTGCTAGTCGGGAAATATAAAGCCCTGCCCTAACCTTAGAACAAAGCCGTGTCGGGAAGTTTTAGCAGTGTCCCCACGATAGGACCCGAGCCCCGACCCAGTAGGGTTTTGAAGGGTTGTGCTTTCTACAGAGTTTACAGAGCTAGGCTTGATTTGTAGGCCCGTTATGTGCTCGCAATAGGCGATGTCCTAGCCTCTTACTATGACAGCACAATCGAACTTCTAGATTTGTGGCAGTTCCCACAAGCCAGCCCCGCACGAATTCCAAAGAAGCCCTTTCTCAGAAACCCCCACACCCTATCGACCCCTAACCTAAGCAGCCCGATTTTTTTATATATCATATCTACATCTATATATATATATATATACACGCACATACAGATGTATTTAATTATATCTATATCTCTAGATCTATATCTGTCTATATATCTAGGTACCTATGTATCTCTTGATCTATGTCTGTATCTGTATATATATATATATGTGTGTGTGTATACCTTTTATTCATACACCCAAGCCTAACTAGCCGTAATTGCCCTACAGCCTCAAACCCTAAACCCCGAATCTCCTAAAGGTTCTCCCCTGCCGAAATGGGCTCGCTGCAGGCAGCCGAGATTCGTCAGACCTGGCTGAGAGGTTGGGGTCGGGCCAGAGGTTGGTTGGTTCGGGGTGTTTAGCTCGGGCTACATAGGGCTTCATCTAGGACGAAGTAGGTTTCCATTCCGGGCCCGAAGGCTCGCCCTGAGCCCGACTCCCGGCTGCACGCCGCCCTTTCTTGAATTCGTGCATCTAAAGGATCATCCTATTTGTTAAGAATTTACTGACATTACTGGTTCGCATAGCTAGAATTGTATTGGATGATTCTATTGTGAGAATGCAAACTGCCGGTGGTGTCAGAGTCCCAACAAGGGTGCTTTTATGGGGTTTTCGAAGAGGTTTAGCATTTCGGGTGATTTCGGCGGTTTCGGATAATACGGGGTTGTGCTGTTTTTCTTGGGGCTACTTTCGCTTTTGTTGGGTCTGGATCTTTTCCTACCAGTTTCTGTTGCCCTTAGGAAATTATTTTTTTTCGGAAACCACTCAAGGCCGTAACCGTATCCCAACAAAATGTCAACATTTTGTTGGGATTTATCGGGATAGGGAGGTCGCAAGCTAAAACCGTAATGAGCCGTAAAAAAACCGTAGGGCGTACCGTAAGCGTAAAATCCAAATAAAAACCCAACAAAAGGCCGTAAAAAGCCGTAATGCTATCCCAATAAAATCCCAACAAGAAGCCGTAAGAGGCCACTTTTTCCAAAGAGGTCACTTTTTACAAAGTGCATCCCAGTTTACTAAACCACTTGGAGATGTGCATCTCGCAACCCATGTGCTCTGGTGATGTCTGTGATCAAGGAGAACTTGTGTTGTGGTGCCACGGCTTGCTTAGTGCTTTAGGATGGTGAGGGCCAACAAAAAGGGCTCACCGCCCACGGCTCCTGCTGTGGTATGCAAGAAGGAGGTTTCTCAAGAGACCTTGGAAAACGAGTTGAAGGACACCCCGGCACTTGCCACATGTGTATATATTATACAAATTGAGCCCCAGCGAATCTCCAATATGTTTATATCTCTAACCTCTTGCAGGACCTGGAGAACATGCTCGAGGAGCTGGGGAGCCCGGCTGGTAAAAAAACGCCGAAGCCCAAGACGAGGCGAGCTTCAACCTCCGAGCGAGTTCCATGGCTTCAGGGGCTGACTTGTTCCTAAGGCATTAAAACCCCAAACCCCCAAACCTAGCAAACTACCCAAAACTTTCAACACCCCTAAAGCCACGAATCTCTAAAGCCATGAACCCCCAAGGCCCAAAATCCCCGAAGCCACAAAGCACGAAAGTTAAAGTCATCAAGCCCAGGTATACCTGCCTTTTTTAAACCCTATATATATATATATACATACATACATACCCTAGAAGCCCTAAGCCACCGGGAAACAACAATCCAAGTCCTTCAAGCTCTGCAAAGGGTGTTGGGGTTGTATCTAGCTAGCCCAGGTGGGGCTTGTTGGCCATGCACAAGGTGATCACCGCTTCGTCCCGCAAAGCTTGCAGAAGCGGTTTGATGCAGTGGAACATGAGGGTGATGCTGTTCCTGGCTCTGCTTCTTCCCGAGCCACCCTGACTGACACCCTCTTTCCCCCGACACAGCCCGACAACCTGGCTTCAGGACCCTCCCCAAGTGCCTCCCGTCGGCAAAAGACACGGACACCGGAAGCACCTTCCAAGAGCAAGGACTGCATATTGTCGAAACTAAATTCAGGATCTCTTGGGTTATGTTCGTGTACGGTGAACTTAGGTAATGTGCCTGTTTTAGACATGTGTGTCTGTATGTTTAAACTCAATTTCGATCGTAGACACACACACACATACATACATACATACATACAAACAAACAAACATACATACATACATACATACATAATACATACATATGTATATACAGATGCAAACCACTGCACATGCAACATAGGAGCTCCGACCTAATCCCTGTCCCCAGCCGGAAAACACAGCCTCTGACCCGTCTCGCTGAACCTCTTGATGCCATGTATCTATGTAAGCATATATGCATGCATATTTGTATGTGTATGTAGACATATATATATA